TTGGAAGAGAGTTATCAAATTTTTCTGAGTATACGTAGTCACCTAGGCCTATCTACCTTTACGCTTTTATCAGCAATTTCGAATTTAACAAACAGACGTACCAGCCTGATAAATGCGCGACACAAGTCCGCATGTGACATTTCCGTTCTTTCGAATGTTCAACCAATCTGTTACCGAAGAATAATTTGCGTCTATTGATCCTTGCATTACACGTGCGCAGTTCTAGGGGATGACCGCACAAAGTGGGCGTGTTGGTCGAAGTAAAATATTCCTAGAGAGAAAGGCAATATTTCGGCCATTAATAAGATCACTACGTAGTTGCCTGAAGGAAAGGGTAAACTGGTTGACGGCCTGTTAGCATAGGGCAGTGCTCCTATATTTCGTGTCAGTTTTGTCGCCCACCTCTACACTTTCTCTAAAACGGACACACGAAGGTGTAAATATGTTGGAAATTCTGACTATGTCGAATCCCACCAAAGTTCGCATTCTGACCTGCAATGTGAACATAGCCGAAGATATTCACCTTATATAGTGACGCTTAACGACCAGAACGACTCCAAATGCTTTGCGTCTCGCATATAAGGCAAAAATCTCACCTGATCGTTTTTGTGTTTGACATGCTAAAGTAGCACAAATTGGCGAACCTCGAAGTAGTTCAAAGTAGCGCGCACTGTGGGGTCGGACCCGGGACCACACTGGCACAAGATTGCGACGCAGACTCCCGCGCTATCGCCGCACGCCCGGGCGGACGCTCTAAAAGCCTAACAAATTGGTTAAGGCCGACGCATGCGGGAACATATTGCAGCGGTTGTCAAACGCTAGCCTCAAAGTTAAATCAACTAGAGGAAGAAGTTAGAAACATAGACAATTTTATCCAGCAGACCTTCATGACAGAGGATAAGTTGACAGCATCTACGCACAGGGTAACGAGGAGTAGAGCGCAAGACAGCCTGCATAAGCAGTATCAGACCCCAGTTATTAGTGGTGACGTGAAACCTCTAAAATCAGTAAAGGCTGAGAGAAAGGAGACAGGAAAGGCTATGGAGAAAGGTAGCAAAAATCCGAAGGCGAGGGTGACAGACTCGCCAGAAAGGAAACCGATGGCCGAGCATGAAAATGCTAAAGATGGACCGATGAAAGAGGAAAACAGTCCTCAGACAGTACGTGCACCTTCTGAGACTAATGTGAATGGAGCGTCGACCAACACCACAACGAATAAAAATGAACCCAGAGTGGGAGTGGAAGTACATACTCTCATGTATATTCATGCAACTAGCGTTGAAGCCCAAACTGGGGAATCCTTATAATCGGTCAGACCAAATATCCAACA